GTAGGTCCAATAACCTTACAATGACATGGGTTCTGATCGCTATTTTTGGGCGTGTGGTTAGTAAAGGCATGAACGTTCAGCTCGCGAATTACTTACGTTCCGCACTGGATGCACAGCGGAAGAGGAACGAAGTCGCACATGTTGACAAGAGGAGGAGGATAGATTCGCTACGAGTCGATTCGTTTGATCAGAAATACGGGATCTAATGCTGTAAGTCGCTGAGGGGATGCAGTGGACAACAGAGATGTTGGAAGTAGGAAGGCTGACAGGAAGTCGCGATGCTTGTTGTCGCGCTAGTGTCGTCATCGGGCTTCGATTCGCGATCGCCGGGAGACACGCGTCAGCCGCAATGCGCTTCTTCAATTCGATCCTCTGCATTCACCAACAAGGCTTGCCCTGAACCTGACCTAGCTAATGTAGCTATTTACAAGATGCGTTTTCGCGAACCTGGTTTCGGAGTACGTTCCAGGCCAGTAGATGGCAGCTGTCTGGTACCTGCCAGTCTACTCGGAGGCCGGAGATGACGACGCAAATTCCTAGTAAACACCGCCTCCTACTACGTGACAGAGTCCATTATACTGCTTGTGTCTTTGCTGAGTTCCAGGGGTTTTTTACGAACGTGCCACATGAAGGAATACACTCTGAGACGTTGTTTGTCGCGAATTGGGATATTAGGCGGACAGTCATTAACACCGCAATCAGCCATCAGTCCTCCATCTCTTCCCGTATCAGCTCTACCTCGACAGTCCTTTGGCCCTCTTGGATCTTGCCCTTCAGTCCATCGTTGTATTTGTCGAAGCAGAGTCTCCATAGGCCCGGCTCGCCTTCACTCTCAACGGCGATAAAGCCCTCCCAGTCCTCGAAGGTGTAGCGCTTCTCTCCGTTTGAGCCGACGCGGGCGTCGAAAGGCCCAGCCTGCCCCTCCTCCGCGTCAACGCGTAGTCCATGGCTGAACTGGAAGATGTCGGATTCGGTATCCAGATAGACCCAATTGAGCTGCGGTGGGTTATCTGAGATCGTAGATACGATGCCTTCGTAATCTTTCTTTGCGAAAGGAAGGTAATAGCCGGTGAAAGGGTGATGCGCTGGCCCTTCGTATGTCGATAGTTGGACGTACAACCTGCCGCCGCATAGTACGATCCGACTATTCTTGAACAACTCCTTGCGATCCTCCGGCGTTCTCATGGTCGCTCGACATCGCATGTGACATTTCTCGCCTTTCCAGTCGTCGTCGTCGTCCTCCTCAGCCTCTTTCTTTGCGTTTTCCGTTTGACTTTGCAGGGTCAGAACGGATGTTGCGGTCATAGGGACCGTTCCCACGAGAGCCAGAAGGCCGAACACCATTTTTTCAGCCTGTTGATACAGAGACGGTACGTTGGGATACTTTCAAGGTTGTGTTTAGGTACAAAGTGTAACATGTGCTAACTGGTGAGGTAGCACATGCGGTGCGTCGGAAACCCTACATCACGACGCGACAAAAAGCAATAGATCACAATCGCACTTCATGCATCTCGCGTAAAAGCCCATGACGAAATTCAAGGCGATCATCATGTGGCTGCATGAGCAAAGTTACAAAGCCAATCAAGCAGTAGTGCGCGGCTAGCTTCCGATACCCGCTCCACTTAGTTTCAGATGATCGACAGATCAATAGTGAATGCCGGTGCCAATGACGAACAACAAGCCTCATATGGCTGATCCCTGGAATTCATGAGTTATGAGTCCACTTTGGGAGAGAGGGTATAACCTTATTGAGGAATTGTAGTCGAAGCTACAGCATTAGCCGGTTGCTTTACTCATCTCCTGCATTAGAGCTATGAGCAAGCCCGAATCGCAGGCAATACTATAGCCAATTCAGCACTCATGCTCGCGAAGATCACCTCGCCGACCCGTCGATCGATGATGTACCTGCGGCTGATAGATGCGCGAGCTTCGGACATGTCCGTCCAGCACCTCCGATCGAGAAGTTTATCAACCGAGACTTGCTCGCATAATCCATCGGAATCTACTCCTTCAAACCCTTCCTACCAACACTTTGAGTTCTGGCGTGGTCAGCACAACTCCCGCATCGCAGGAAAGCGAAGATACCGCATTTGACTATACCTCCACCGCACCCCCAACTCACACCACCGCAAACACCGGACTCCGAAACCGCACCAGAATCTGAATTCAAGATGGCGGACGCAACCAAGAAGTACGGCAGTCACATCCGCATTACCTCTTGTCATGTCATATCTAACATATTCATAGCCTCACCGACACGGCCAACAATGCCACCGGCGGCCGCGACGGCGGACCTGGTGACACCCTTGGCAAACTAGGCGGCACAGCCACCAGCGCTGTAGCACCGAAGAACAAGAACAAGAAGAAGAAAGGCGGCAATGGCAACAACGAAGAGGAAGACGAAGAGACCACCGAGGGTTTCGGTCTCGACAATGGATCGGATGTGAAGGGTAGCTTGAAGGTGCATATCAAGTTGGACCTAGAAGCGGATATCAAGGTCTACGCGAGGATCAGGGGAGACATCGCGATTGGTATTTTGTAAGATAGAATGGCCCCAAAATCCGAATAGCATATTGTGTGTCAAGTCCTAGGTTGTGGCAGTTAGGCATTGATCTTTTTCTTGAATCCTTTTCGCAAGTAATTTGAAATGTTTGTTGCTTCATATCATGTGTTCAAGCTATTGGAAGGGGGACATAAGTGAATTCGTGATGCTGAGTTGCTGAAGGCCGTGGTCTCTGGATGTGAGATGGATGCCCCGATCTACTCGACCTTTCCTGCCTCGGCTAGAAGCGCTGGACCCTGAACGTCAGGCTGCATACCAAAAATAATGCTGAGAGTCATCCACCATGTCGCCAAACGATGCGCCGGCCGCTACCCCACGCCTTTCCAGAGTTCCAACAGTCGCTACATCGATTATTCTGCTCACGGCGCGACTTCCACAAGCTCTCGAGGGTTCCGCGACGCGTACAAGTGCGGATCGCGTATGGGAAGAAAGGCAACATGGCGGGGTATGAAGACTGGTCGCAACAGCAGTTGATTGCAAGGATACAAGAATTAGAGAAGCAAGTCGGAGGGAATACCCAAGGCGCGACTGAAGAGAAGTCCCCGGTGCCTACGAACGAGCAGATATCACCACCTCCAGACTCGCCACAGTCATTAGCCTTTCGCAGAGTCAACAAGCCGCCACCCAAAGCCTTCGATGCCTCGAAATACGCCACACGGTTGATCGCACTGAAGTTTGCATATTTAGGGCAGAAATATAATGGATTTGAGCATCACAAGAACAATACCACGCCATTGCCTACAATAGAAGAAGAGGTCTGGAAGGCGCTGGTCAAGACACGGTTGATAAATCCTATACCTACGGACGGTGATGAGAAAAGATTTGAAAGGATTGATAGAAAGACCTTTGCGAAATGGGATAGGGAAGGCGCGGATGTAAACTGGGATGGCTGCGAATACTCAAAGTGCGGACGGACGGATCGGGGTGTCAGTGCCTTTGGGCAAGTCATTGGTGTGAGAGTCAGGAGTAACAAGCCCAGACCTGTAGAAGAAGTGGAAGGAGAGAAGGAAGTGGGCAACGAAGAATCATTGCCTTCTTCAAACGATACCCAGACCATCCCATCAAAGCCGTTCAACGATCTCACCGACGAATTACCATACATCCAGCTTCTAAACCGCGTCCTTCCTCCCGACATTCGCGTTTACGCGTGGTGCCCGAATCCACCAAAAGACTTCAGCGCACGCTTCTCCTGTAAAGAACGACGGTACAAGTACTTCTTCACCAACCCTTGCTTCGCACCCGTACCCGGCTCCTCTGGTCTATACAAACCCAGCGCATACGGTGCCACTACGGCAGATGACCAAGAAACGATGCGCGAAGGCTGGCTCGATATAGAAGCCATGCGAAAAGGATGCAAAGAGCTAATCGGCCTCCACGACTTCCGCAACTTCTGCAAAATCGACGCGAGCAAACAGCTAACAAATTTCCAACGGCGAATCTACCACGCTGACATCGAGGAGGTCTCTCCACTATCTCTCCCAGGCTTCCTATCACACCCAGCTCTTTCCGCTCCATCTCTGTCAAAGAACGGAGAGCAAGCAAAACTATACTCCTTCACCCTCCATGGCTCCGCATTCCTCTGGCACCAGGTCCGATCCCTAGTCTCGATCCTCTTCCTCATCGGCCAAGGTCTCGAATCGCCCTCGCTAGTCCCCCAACTCCTCGACATCACCGCCAACCCCACACGACCGAAATACGAAATGGCATCCGACGCCCCACTCGTCCTCTGGGACTGCATCTTCCCACACGCCTCGGAGGTGCAAACCTCTGAAGAACGCGAACGAGGCTACGAAGACCGGCTAGAATGGGTATACATCGGCGACGAAGGCGGCAGCGAGCCCAAGGCCAGGGGAACAGGCAAAGGCGGCGGTCCCAGCACGATCGGCCGCGGGAAATGGGGTCGCGGCGGCGTGATCGACGATGTCTGGGAGATGTGGAGGGGGAACAAAGTCGATGAGACGCTTTCGGCGCTTTTGCTGGACAAGATTGCGGGTTTGGGACAGTCGACGCTGGATGCTGAGGTGCCGGTTGAGCGGCAGAGTATTGGGATAGCGAGGGGCGGACCGCGGTTGTTTGATGGAGGGGATATTGGGAAGGCGAAGGGGAATTATACGCCGTTGCTGCAGAGGGAGAGGCAGGAGTCTGTCGAGGTGGTCAATGAACGGTATAGAGTGAGGAGGGGCATTGATGCTCGCGTTAAAACGACGGACGATGACGGGGATGAATAGATTACTGAAGGCGTGAGATAGAATCGAGTTTACTCGTTCGACACGACATTACAGTCGAAACATGCCAGGTCGAGCAAAAGAGAAACTTTATTGGGTATCATGATTTGTTGCTGCATCTTCCAATCTTTGGCCACGGTGATCCATCCTTCAATCCCCCTTCGCCTTTTTTCCACCTTAACCCCAATATCCCAAAGTCCACCATCCCCCATCTAATCCCCAGTATTCAACTCCAAATCGATCTGCACGCCATTGCTTATAGCATAGTCCTCACACGTCAAATTATCGTGAAACGGCCTCTCCCCCTGCCTCTTGAGCATTATCTCATGTACCGGTCTGCCAATCTTCGCCGCCACCATAGCCTTCAGTAGTTTGATAGGGTCGCTGGGCAGGCACGGCACTTGTGTCTTTGTTCCGAGACGGTCATTGATAGTGACGAGGATCATGTGCTCAGAAGGTGCCGCAGGAGCGGCTGCGGGTTTCTTCTCTTTGGGTTTGCTGTCGCGGTCGCTGTCTCGTGGTTTGCGGTCGCGCGAGCGGGAACGGCGGCGCCGGTCGCGGCTTCCGTCTCGTCTGCGCTCGCGGGAGTTGTCTCGGGGACGCCGGTCGCGTTCTCTGGAGCCATCGCGTCTGCGGTCGCGATCGCGGTCTGAGTCTCTCGGTCGCCTTTCTCGATCTCGGTCGTCGCGTCGTCTGTCTGGGTCGCGGCGGTCGCGGTCGCCTTTGTATTTGAGGCCGCTGAAGGTTTTGGGCTTGCGCGGACCGGGGGATCTTCGTGGAGAGCGAGAGCGGGAGCGCTCTGGTTTTGAAGACTCCATGGCTATCGACGTGTGTATGAGATGTGTCCGCGGGTGTTGTGCTGGTGGAGAGGGAAGAGCAAGTGCAGGTCAGGCAGCTTCGTCGAAAACGTGAGCTCGGCATCGCGCTTATCGATAAGGAAGCTAGCAGAGCGCGTCATCCCGTCCCGCGACGCTTCCTTTCATCCCCACATTCCGCCGTCTGTACTTGTCCCTGTCTAGGGATGCCTCCTTCAATTCGAATATCATGTTGAAGCTTGTTGATCGCTTCAACTCTCCGCCGGCGCAGACGCTGCAAGTACTGCAGCCCACATCGTCGACCATCACATACACGGTCTCGACGCGTTCTGTACCCAAGACACTTCCCGCCTTGGTAGCATACTATGCAGGGATACTGACGAGAGTGCTGCTGGGTATAGCCAGTGTGCTATTGTTATGGATGAAATGGCGCGTCACACAAGCTCAGTCTCTGGATCTGTCGCTGGGTGTATTGGGCTATGAGACAGAAAGGCAACTAGTAAAGCTGACGGAAGCTTGCCAATGGCGATATCTGGTACCCAGTACATTGCTCATACTCTTCCTAGTCTTTCGCCGAAACTATACAGGTACATTCTTCGCCGTCTTCTCAGCCTCCCCTAAGCCCAAGCTAATACAGATCATAGAAGAATCACTCACCGTACTCCGGGGCCTCGGTGTCCAGACCTCGACCACTTCCTCTACGTATCTCCAAACACCTACTACGCGCTTCATACCGACTACAAGTATACAGGACGTCTTCATACACGAGGCCTTCAAGGGGTTCGAAGTGAGGTTTTTTCTCATGATCGTCGTGGAAGGAGAAGGAGAGGTGGTGGTCGTCTTTCCGAGACTGCTACCGAGAAGGGCGACACTGGAGACTGTTTGGCGCGGCGTCAGGGGTGGGTTATGGGAGGATAGCGTCAGAGCGCCGACAGAGAAAACAAGGCCGTGAAGAAAGCGGAGGACATCGTAGAAATGACATGTCATTAAGCGTTTGCGTTGCGTGTCGTAATGGTTGAATGACCAGAACACTATCTACGTCCCAAATAACGCCTGACGAGAAGTCTAAGTGAGCATTCTGAAAGGCAGTTGTGATGATGCAGTCGTACCTTCAAATTGGCTGCGTTACGACTTCCTACACACGGCTCCTCCATGTCTCCTGAACTCGGAGCAGGAACCGCGCCCAATCTCTTCCATACTGGTATCGATCTCCTACTGGTGTCCAAATCCCAAATACGCCATGAATCCAACCTGGTGCCCCCATCATGAGCTTCCCCTCAATATCTGTACCTGGTAGAATAATCCTTTGGACTAACCACCAAACCCCGCCCCTTCTTCGCGCCCCGATAAACCGTCTCAATAATATCAATAAACTCCTGCTTATCCTCCAACACCCAATTCAGCTTATTATTATTTCCCGTTCCGAAATCGCACATCATGTGTTTGTTGCGGAAGAAGAACATGACGGTACACGGGTCGTAGAGCTCGTACATGGCTTTGAAATCGGGGACTTCGTCGAGGTCGCAGAGGTAGATGGCGCAGAAGTTCTTAACCCGGTCGGCGATCTTATAGAGGACTTCGTCTTGTTGCATGCAGTCGGGGTCCGAGTCGCGGCCGAAGCGGATGAGGACGAGTCGGTCTTCTTCGCTGAGGATCGCTTGGTCGACGTGCCAGCCTGTGCGGAGGTGGGGGAGGACTACGGAGCCCATGGTGGGTGGATACGCGTATGGCTGAACTCAGGGTTGGAGGTGTGCGACCGTGGAGGATGGGTGGTCGAGATGGCCGGCAGCGAAGGCGGGGTTATTAGGCTCGATGCGATGATGTAGTATACGGTTTGTGCGGTCGAGCGATAAAAATGTGTAGCGCGTTGGAACGTTCGTATAATTATGTTTGCGCGATCCTTCAAGGTATGGAAGGGTTGAAAGAAAGTTAGTCGCGCCAGGCAGCTACCGCCCGTGATCTAGAAAGTTCCCGAGGTCGCCCCACTGGACTTCGACCTGAACACCTTGATACCTCTTACAATCCTTTCACTATTTCCTACGTGCAACACTTAATATATAAGGCGCGATAAACTCCCTTCATTCCGATAAACGTGCACAATACATGGCAGCGGCATTCAGCTTGTGTGGAGCTCGATTGGCTCCATAGACTCACCTCCCGGGCATGCAACCACTCCGCCTTGCCACTTGGGCAGACGTCGACGACAGCTGTATTGGCCTATAGAGCCATATCAGGCAGATTCCTCGCGTACTTTACTTGATCAGTACCACGGAGCACGTCCATAAAGCGTCTGGGTTCTTGTTAAAGGCGCTACATCTGTCCTCCTGTCCTTGGCTGCATTTGCTTTTGTTGCAGCCTTCTCAAGTCTGTGTAACGTTCGTTTGCGCTTTGTAGCTGACCGCCTCTCCTACAAAATTGATCTAATCCACATCTGCTGCTACCATGCGGGCACGTCGGCTGATGTACCAGCCGCCTGGGTGATGACAAAAGGTATAGTATGAACAAGCTGCAGACTGCCCGCATCCCGCTCAAGTCCCCCGGGAACCAATAGCATGTCCGCTGTGTGTGGGTACACTTTCGTAAGAACAGACTAGCAAAGAGGCCTAGTCCAGTCATAGGTAACCTACTCGACTCCCCTGCGATGGGTGTGGGCAAAAGGTGTGCGGGACGGGGCGCGCGGGATCGGGAGTACCCTTGAGACATGGCCGGTAGGATTCAACTTTGATGCAGGACGAGGCACCCTCTCTACGCGTTTGTTGCAGCTCTACTAGAGTACGGCAAGTTGCGAATCGTTGAGTACAACATTCACAGACTATGCTACGGAAACATTCAAGCTGTTCTTGGGAAAGTCTACCACTGTCACACGCCACCATCTCACACTGATCGGGAAGGTCTTAGTCGGACCCAAATGCCATTTTTGGGATAGATTCGGGTGTTGCCGTAGGTCTGGTTGTGCATGTGGGTGCTAATATACGTGTAGGCATCGTCAGGGTGATGCCGCAGCGCACGTATTGCATTAGCGAACAGCCAGAGTGAAGCATCATCGGTCTACTTCATCAGCGCACATCATGGGGAAGTCGCCTTGACAGACACGGAGAAAGGAACTGGTTCGAGCAAAGCCGATTATGGGGATTCTTCTTCCTGCGAAAATCTGTTTACAGAGTACAACCTCCGTTATGCCTGAGTAAACCTACTGCGTCATCGCGCCGAACGACACACACCACGTTGATTGTTATGGTACTGCGAGTCGGACCGATATCGTACTCAGCACCCGCCCATGCATACTGCAGAGGAGAACTCTGTCATTCAACCGACCAGTGGGTGTGCTACCTATTCGATGTGCCAAGTGTAAACCCGTGACAGCAGTCTGAAGGTAGGAGCACTTCTTCATGCTTGTTATGTGGACGGGAACTCTGGCTCGGCAGATTTTATCCGCCTATTCCGTTGTTTGCGTACTCGATGTGTCTTTCAGATGATGGTGATGGGCGTCTGCTTGATTGTCTCGCCAACTTGACTGCTCTAATCCGCACTGTGTTGCTGTCCTCCATCGCTTCCCCCTACCCCATTCACGATTATCGTACGATACAACTAGCCCTTCCTAGAAATAGATCAAGACAGTTGAGATGGCGTCGAGCAACACTAGTTGGTGGCAAAGAGAAGCATCTGCATGCAGACCAGACGCCAACCAGAGACGTTGTTAGCAGTACATCACAGAGGGCTCAGAACAATATAGTTGACTCAGCTGAGTAGGTCTGGTAAGTTCTATCATAGGCCCAAATCTTTCTTTGTTTTTCAGACATCCGGCTCCAAGGGATACATCTGGCAGCCGAGATCTCTCAAGCTGTGCTGCAGCCAAGATCATTGGTCACTTCTGCAGAAAGTATGAGAAGAAGGGATTTGCTTTTGCTGCTCTGGAAGTCTACATAAGACCTCCAGTGCTCACTGAAAGCTTCAATACCATCAGCATCGCATCTTCCTCGTCACCATCAGACTAAGACTCTTCTCAACCACTCATAATTTCTCAAGTACATCACAATGTCCGACTACACCGGCCCCGGATTGTACGAAATCCTCCCCAGATATGCTCCCGAGATGAGCTTGAACGTCTGGGGCGCAGCAGAGACAGCCGGCACGCAAGTGAAGCTATAGTAAGTTACTCGAACGGTCAGAGAGAGAGCATGTTGACTGAATTCATCCAGCCAGAGAACCAAAAGCGCCAACAACACTCATTTTGAGATCGTAGCAGCAGGAGGCACAGACGCCAAGCCCGAAAAAGGCGATCGTGAATACCACATCATCGCCGCCTGCTCTGGCCTCTATCTGACGTCGGCCGGTAAGTCGAAACCAGACTGACATTTATGTTCTCCTCACATTGCTGATATATCTAGGGCCAAAAGCTGGTTACATCAAGACGGAGCTGCGCAAGCCGCTCGACAGCACTATCCGCTGGAAGATCGTACACTGCGGAAACGGTTCTTACCGGTAAGTGGCCCCGTACAGCTCCCCTTAAATCTGAGTTCGCTTTCTGACGCGTGTGTGCCTGTCTTAGTATCAATAATGTAGATGGGAAGACGCAGCTCAATGTCGCTGGTGGTGGCAAGACCAGCGGCACCGACATGATTGGCTGGCAATTTTCTGACGGCTCTGAGAACACGGAGTTCCGTCTCATGGCTGTTTAAGTGATACGGGGGAGACTCGGGTTTATTGCCTTGTATTGAAAAGGATTGTAGAATCTGTCGCTCACTTACAAAGTCGATTCAATTAACAGGCTGAGATGCCTCCCAATGATTGTGATGGGTGATGAGGCTTGTGCTTTCAGTGAGACGACGCTAACAGCTCACTCATCAGTTCCTTGTTACCTCTGCCTAGGTTAGTATCGATGCACGTTAGAAGTATGTCTTGGCCACTGCGCACTTGTTGATAGCTGACTTCATGTGAGGTTCAGCAACTTTCACGGTCTCTTCCTCATATCAGACAAACGTTGCTTTCCTTGGTTATTACATGTAAAATATATCGATACTCTAGACTATTTCCCCGTGGAAGGGACTACAAAGTGTATCTGTAGAAAGGACTCTTGTCACCCATGAGCAACAACTCCTGCTCCGAGTATCTCGCGCGAATAGCCTCCTCTCCGTGCTCAGCAATCAGCTCATCCCGCTTGCGGTTCTCCTTCGCATACGCCCACCTCAGCACCAAAGTCATGAGGATCGCGGTGCAGCACATGGCCAAACTAGCTGAGAAACCAGTAGTATACTTTGGTGCTTCGCGTGCCAGATACACGTTGCTGCCCATGATTCCACCCATGTTTCCGACGGAGATAAGCAGAGCCATGCCAACAGCGCGTTTTGACGATGGTGCGAGAGAGTTGCCGATCCAGGAGACGAGGCATGTGAAGGGGCAGTAGAGACCACCAGCGACGGGGAAAAGGAAACCGTAGGTGATGCCAGGGTATTTAGGCTTTGGAATCGCAAGCTGAGCGATGAAGCCGCATACAGCGATCGAGTAACCTGCAATGATGTATGGGGAGCGCTTGCGCGTCAGATCGGAGGCCCACGCAAAGATGAGGGTAAGAATAGCGGCGAATACGTAGATAGGGATCGTGAGGAGCTGAGCGTTGGCACTGGTATATCCGAGTCCTTGAATAACAGAGGGCACGGTCGCGGTGAATCTGTATGAAACTGTTAGAGATGAAACCGCAGCAGAGCTGGATATCTTCAGCTTACCCATAAACACCAACAGTGTTTCCCCAGAAAACGACCGTAGCAGCCCAGATCTTCCAGTCAGAAAGACCAGCAAGAATCTGTTCTTTTCCGATCTTGTCGCTGTTGGTGGCTTGTCCCTGACCAGACCCGGAATCGTTGGACAACCGGGTAACAAGCAAGTCGCGCTCCGGTTGTGTCAGAAACTTCGCAGTCTCTGGGCTATCGGGGAGAATCTTCCAGATGATGAGCGCGAGCGCTACTGGAATCAATCCCTCTATCAGGAAGATCCATTGCCATCCTGCGAGTCCAGAGCGTCCATCGAGTTGTTCGATACCGTAGGCGAGGAGACCACTGAAAGCACCGGCGAGGGAGGCAGCTACGTAGAAGACAGCCATGCGGCGTTGAAGTTCGAAACGACGGTACCAGAGAGTGAGCAAGAATGTTGCTGCGGGGAAGAAACCAGACTGCGAATGTAAGCAAGTGTTCTCCAGTTTGAACCAAGATGCTGAGGACCTACCTCTGTTACACCCAAGAAGAATCTTCCAGCGAGCAGACCACCATAACTGGACGTGAGCCCCATCAATGTCATGACGAGACCCCAGCAGAACATCAGAATCGCCATCCAATGACTTGGGCGCATCATCTTGAGCACAATGTTGCTAGGTACTTCAAGAATCGTGTACGGAACGAAGAATAGAGTAACGGCAGTGTTGTACTGAATACCGTTCATCTTGAGGTCGTCCGTCATACCAGCAATCTTCGCGTTACCGACTACAACACGTTAGTAATTCGTTCCAATGTTTCTCTCGGAAATGAATATGTCCAAACGTACTGTTGCTCCGGTCGATAAATGCAACAAGATAGAGGAGCGAAAGCATTGGAACAAGTCTCATGTCAACCTTCCTCAAAACGCGCGCTGCCTCCTTCTCCTCCAGTTCGACATTTTGCGCTTCAAGCTCGCCAGTTCCGGAGGAGTTCGAGATCTTCTCCGCAACATTCTCAGCCCGCTGGTGCTCAGTAGAGAGCTTGCCGTGATCGAACGTTGTCGCCATCGTGGGATATTGCACCGCGTCTGCTTCAATGCAAAGGCGGGTGAGGAGGCTGGCAGGGCAATGCACGATTGCATCCCCATGGGCAACCCCTACCCTTTAAAGCATCTCGGTAGAATGTAAAGCCCGACATCATCCATCTCAACGGCATACCTTCTTCGGCAGCGTTACCCACTTACATGCATGCCTTGCCTCCCGTCAGCGCAATCGAGCCTCTCGTGTGGAGGCGGGTAGAAAGCATCTTGGCTTCTGGGGTAGCAAGCGGCGCTTTTGCGGGGTAGTCTGGAGGGATCATCATGCGCGGCGTCGGCACGTGCTGCACGATCTGCATGTCGCTGTGACGTATGGTTCGACCATCTGTCCACCGGCACAGCGTTTACTGGAGATGTGCAGGGGCGCATTTGCCGATCTCAGAAGCCGCGGTGGTGGTTTTCGATGCGAGGTGCGTGCTGGGCGGTTGTCGGATGGGTGCCGTCGGCGATAGACCGAGGAAAAAGAAAGTCCGGTCGGTGGCAGCACCGCTTGCAATGGGCTTCTTGAGCTTGCACTTGATGACAGCATCGCCTTGCTACGAAAACGTACGTCTTTTTATGTCTCTTTTGAGACCATGTGAGTTAGATTCCACGATGACTGTCCGACGTTTGGTGCCAGCCTTGATGGTGCTGTTCTTGTCAGAAGAGCCGTGGATGAATATAGGAAGGCTCGCCGAGGACGTGTTACCCGTAAACCTTCACAGCACAGACACCAATCCCCAGCCTCCCTCCACAGTTGCCGTCACTCTTGCTCTTTGACAAGGGAATACAACTCTATCGTGGTCTCCGACAATGAATTGTCATACGAAGTTTCGCGCCCAGTATTGAACTTCAAAATGTTGTATCCATTACAATGGCCATGGTATATAATCTTGCAGACAAACTCCTATCCTGGCTATTGGCCATTCCCGAAATCGCCTAAACGCCGTCTAATGCTCCCAAATCTCCTTCTCCCATGTCCAACAGCTCTCAAACCGAGCTGGGATACATCATAACCCGAAGACTCGCACCGAACGATTTTGGTGGGAGGTTGTTCTGGAAAGATGCACGAACAACACCAGAGTTGCCTGTTCTTGAATCAATATCTTTTCTTTCGCAAGTCTGACAAGCTGTACGAACCATGTGTCCTGCGGATCTTGCCCCAGATCACACGAGGACCTTCTTCTTTGCTGCTGGCAACGCGGTAGACATATGCGACGCGCTTGCCGAGATACCACTGCGCGTCTTGCGTGCTGTCGACGCCTTCGAGCGCAAGAAGGCTCACGTTGGGGTTTGTGTTGCGTTTGCCGCGCTGGTAGCTGACATGGCGGGCTTTGACGTATACTGCACAAACTATTACTACGTGCACAGCGGCGTGAAACTGCTGCTACTTACGACGGTGGCTCTTTTCTGAAGACATCGCGATTTTTACAATTGTTTGTTTATTGTCAGAATGTGAGTTTTGGTCGATTGGTGTGCGCTCGGTAGACTGCTTACCTAACATATATGGGTCTTCGAAGTTCAGACGGCGCGTGGTAATAATGTAGGCACCTACTGCTGCGATCGACGGCTGACGGTTAGTTGCCTAATCTGGACTATCGTCACAGACAGAGCGCAGCAACATCCAACCTCCCCGCTGAGTTCAGGATACGGCAACCACGGATGTAATGACTTTGACAGCTTTGATGTCAATCCGAGATCGCGAATCCCTTAAGTACTTTCGACTCCCTCCTGCCGCCTGTGTCAACTCACATCATTACATCATCCTGGCTTCATCGTTTCACGGGTGTCAATATTCAGGAATGTACGTTTCTCGGTCAATATTAAAGCTATTCAAACAAGCAACTATGGGAACAAGAAACCAACGCAATTACTAGGCTAAAGCGTGCGCCTAGTGTTCGACCATACAACGGCCGAGGGGTATACAGCTTTCGTCAATCATCCGTGTTTATGCCCCTGGAGAACGCCAACAAGAAATGCACCTTCCAACCCACGAGAGGTCGTATACTTGCGAAAACCAACGCACAGCTATGCAAACACGAGAAAAAAAGCAATACAATGAAGAAGAATGCCCACAGGCAAGGAATCTGATTCCAGTCGATCAATTCCGATTCGTGTGAAGATGAGGAACGCCGAAACAATGCATTATAAACATTTTTTTTACGAGGAGGTAGGGCTTGGCTCCTCCTCATCTGACTCGTAGGTGAGGGTGGGCGCTTGCCATTCGACATTGAACTTCTGCTGATACTCGTGGCTGTTGATGATCTCTTCGAATTCAGCTTGACATTCGTCATCAAGTTCGATAATTTCCGCTCCTGGCATGTCATCGAACATGGACACCGCGGAAGTTGCCATTTGTGCAGGAGTGGCGGCAAGGAGCGACACGTTGCCAGCTTCCGATAGGATGCTTGGTGATGGGTAGGTTGCCTCGCGGAGACGGGAAGGCTTAGCAGGTGTGTGCTTCATGAGTCTCTGGCGCTGGCGCTCAATCTCATCTCCAGGCTGCTGGCGGGTAGGGGTTGGGGGCGCTTCGGGCACATCAGACGCTTCATCCGTAGATCCGCCTGGCAGGGGAGCATGCGCAGGAACGGGGGCTGGTGGGGGTGGTTGGGTCCAGATAGGAGTAGCTTCAGCGTCAGCGCTCTCGCTGCCCATTGTAGAGTCTTCTTCATCAGAATCATCATCGGGGACGCTGAAAGAGCCCATGCCTGGGTTATGGGAGTGGGTGTTCTCCTTGGTTGCGCTTTTCAGGACCTCACGATCGTTCTCACGGATCTGTGCCGCGGTGTCGTGTCCTTGTAGTTCGCTAAAGATGTTACCGCCGGTGTTGTGTGAGATGGAGTTGCTGAACATGGGTGATGGGTCGATTGAGCGACGAGGGTGGAAGTCACGGAGTGAAGCGGACTGGCCATGGCTGTTGTAGAGCTTTGGTGAAATGCGCGCGCCGTTGCTGGCGGCGAACTGCTCGTCGATGGTAGGAACTTCGTCGTCGCCCGTGGTGAATTCGTGAGTCTTCTTGTGCTTCTTAGCGGTGTGCTCTTCTTCTTCAGCCACGATATCGAGATAGACAGCCCAGACTGGTACAACATCGTCATCGTCCAGATCACCAAGCGGGTCGCCGAAGCCAGTCTCCCAAGGCTTAGCTGAGGGGAAATTCGACAGCTCCTTGCACAGAACGTCCTTCTGGAGACGCGCACGCTTCTCGCTGAAAGCAGGATCGTTCTTCAATTCAGGAATGACCTGCTTGGCCCACTCCTCTGCCTTGTGCCTGTCCTTGCGGTCGACGCCCTTGAGCAGTAGTTTCAGCAGTGTGTTCATGGGCGCACGCCTCTTGTTCGGCGTCTTGACGCGCTCGCCAACAGGTGTAGGAGGGAGGGAGAGGGTCTCGGTGATTGTGTTCTGGGGTGGTAGAGGCTTCGTAACGGTGGGCGACGCGACTTCGGGGGTTGGCAGGGGCTTGGGGGTCGAGGAGAAAAGTCGGGATTTGATAGCAGAGAATGACCTGCTGAAGATGTTGGATGGTGTTGCGACGGGGCGGTTGGGCGTTGCTGTGACATCCTCGAAGGTTCTCTTAGCAGACGGCTGTTGTGGTGAAGGTTCCATGGCGACGTCATTGTCTGAGAATGTCTCACTGTCATTACTTGAGGGCTCAACGCGCCTGGTTTCTTTGGCAGAGCTCTCGATCTTGTGGAGGAGCGCAAGGGCTTCCTCATTGCCATTCACAAACACACCATGTGCCGGAGATGACTCGCTGATTGCAACTAGTTCACTGTCGAATTCTGCGTAACTGACGTTAGCCGGAGTACCGTAGCTAATATGTGGAATATTCTCTAGTCGCGTGATTTCCATGCGCAGACGCAGGTTCTCGTTCTCGAAGAGAAACATTTGCTGATCTTTCTGCCACATCATCTCTACGAGATTCTGGATGCGAGCCTCCTGGTTTGTGACACGCTCGCGGAGATGATCAATCTCCCTCTCTTGGTGTTCGTACTTCTCCTTGCGGAGCTCGTTGTCGATTTCTTCCTCTGAAGGGGTGTAGCTATGGGGAAGATGGTGCTTACTTTTTGTGAAGAAGGCGCCCATGCCATCTTCATTCTCGGCTTCTGCCTCGTCTTCGGCGCTCTCGATGGCCTTGGCCGCCGCCAGCTTTGCGGCCACTGCCTTTCGCTTCTCACTGGTGACTTTCTGGCGGGCTGTGCCGCGTCCTTGCTTGGCGGGCTTCGTCTGTTCCAGGCTGCGCTGCGGCGAAGCCTCTACGCCTGCCTCTTTGAGCGCCTGGCGACCGGCTCTGGTGAGCTTCTTGGCGACAACAGGCGCTTGCGTCGCGGTTTTGGTTGTTGATGATGTGGTGGTTGTTGTGGTGACGGCGGAAGCGGCGTTTGCGCGTGACGTAGCGCGACCCTTGGTGACTGTCTGCTGCGACTCTGTCACGGTCTGCGACTCGACTTTGGCGGCGGCAGCCTTGGGCTTGCGACCGGGCTTCTTCTTGGGGGCAGTCTCTGGCGCAGGCGACGCCGACTGTGAGCTTTGCCTGGAGACGGGCTGCGACGACTCGGTGGCCGCTGTCGCTGCAGTGCGACGCGTTGAGCGCCGTGTAGTAGCTGACATGGTACTGCAAGCGAGGTCAGTAGGAGCGGTGCGCAACAGCAGCGGGGACGTACGAGGCAGTTGCGATGCAATTGCCAGTAAGCAGTGAATGATCTGATGACAGATGCAGCTGCGAAGGTGTGTTGGGATGGTTGCGTTGTCGGGGTGCGTTGGCAAGGGAAGTTGCGATGGAGTTAAGAAAGTTGTACATGCACCTCCGGCCATTGGGGCTAGCGCGTAAACACCCCAGCACCATCGAGGCAGGCGCGACACGGGCCACGCCTTGGCATGACGACCAAGCTGGAGCTCTTTGCCTGCGACGGTCGACAGCAGCCAGCATCAGCATCATGGAGGGCCTTTACTACAACGTCAAATACGGGTATGATGCACGCGTTTTTCGTCGCTTCATCCATATCTGACATCTCTCTACAGTTACATCGAGGGCATCGTGCGCGGTTACCGCAATGCACTGCTCACCAGCCAGAACTACAGCAACTTGACCCAGTGCGAAACCATCGACGGTACATCGCATCCCGTCGCTACTGCCTCTGGAACCGCTCTAACAATGCTACAGATGTCAAGCTGCAGCTCTCGCCCGCGTACGGTGACTTCCTCAACAACTTGCCCCCGAACCCGTCCACGTCTGCGCTCGCCGCGAAGACCACCGACAAGCTCGTGGCCGAGTTCCGCTATCTCCAGGCCAACGCCACCGGCTCGCTCTCCAAATTCATGGAATACCTGACGTACGGATACATGATCGACAATGTCGCGCTGCTGATTACGGGCACCCTGCACGAGAGAGATACGCGCGAGTTGCTGGAAAGGTGTCACCCGCTCGGCTGGTTCGAGACCATGCCGGTGCTGTGCGTGGCGACCAACATCGAGGAACTATACAACTCCGTTCTGATTGAGACGCCGCTCGCGCCCTACTTCAAGGGCTCGCTCAGCCACCAGGATCTCGACGAACTCAACATCGAGATCATCCGCAACACCTTGTACAAGAACTACCTCGAGGATTTCCATCAGTGGATCAATTCCTGCCCAGACATTACCGGAACACCGACTGCAGATGTCATGTCGGAGGTTTTGGAGTTCGAGGCCGACCGCAGGAGCATCAACATCTCCCTCAACTCGTTCGGTACCGAGCTGTCCAAGGCAGACAGGAAGAAGCTTTACCCAGGCTTCGGCAAGCTATACCCAGAGGGAACCACAATGCTCTCGAGAGCGGACGACGTAGAGGGTGTGCGAATCGCTGTTGAGAGTGTTGCCGACTACAAAATGTTCTTTGACCAGACCGGCCTCAGTGGAGGTGGCGGTGGTGTGGGCAACATGGCCGGTGGTGTCGGTGGTGAGACGAGGAGTCTCGAGGATCTCTTTTACCAGAAAGAAATGGAGATCTCGAAGCTTGCATTCACTCACCAGTTCACTCACGCCATTGTGTACGCATGGGTGAAGCTGCGCGAGCAGGTACGTTGTAATTCCATCCTGAAGAAAACGTAGTGACTGACATGACACGCAGGAAATCCGGAACATTACATGGATAGCCGAGTGCATCGCGCAGAACCAAAAGGAGCGCATTGGTAACTACATCAGCGTCTTCTGAGTGCGCGCATCATTGTAGTAATAGCATGTTTGGGTCCAACTATGGAATGGCTTGGGTGGCGTTAGGGTGCGATCCGTATATCCAACTTTGTTAGATTGTACATCTCTGCCATGTGTGTTCTTCGTCTCTATCTCATCTCCTGTCGGGTGTCAACACGTCTAGCCATGCTTTCGACGTCCCAATTCCGCCTTTGACCGTTATCACTACGGCTGTCAATCTGCTTTGACTCA